TAGAATAGGTTAGAATAGTCTAGAACTAGACTTTCACTATACTTCGTATATACGAGAAAGTAAAAAGGTGCTTTCAACATAGTTCACGATATATTGTTTTCTTTGCTTGATGTTGTAGTACTTGAGACTCATGTGAAATACTGATGTCCTTTTTTTTTTATTCTTTTTCTTCGTTCTTAATTTTAGTATTGGAAAGGATTCCCTCCAACACAATTTAGTATACGTGTCAACTGATTATGCGTCATTGAGGTCATTGACTCCGATTTTAGTCTGCTTTTCTTTTTGGATTTGCTGCCATAGCCTTTGTCTAACCAAGAACAAACTACAAGGCAGAAGTTGTTTGATTTTGGAGTTGTCTCTCCTAGAAGAGTGGCTGTTCCCAGCTAACGAGCCTCATCTGCCCGAGAGTTCGAACTCGAGACTTTTCGGTCTAGCAACCATGAGCTTTACCGACTCGACCACGCCGATCACCTAACCGTTCATCCGAGTGCTATGAAATTCATGGTTTGGCGCCCAGAGCTCCAGAACTCCAGTACCTGGTATACGTTAATCTTGCGTCCTGCATAGCGGGTAAGGGTTGTAACTAAATTAAGCGTCAAAACTTCAACAGCTGCAACCGCCTACATCAATCAGAATCGATCTGACAAAAATAGTTTTTACACGTGTGAATGTGGTTATTATTTTGCGTTTTTCGAATAATTTTTTTCTATGAATTCTAATTCATAAAGCACAGAACAACTCTAGTTTACTAGTCTTTTATTTACTACAAGTACTGAAGCTGAAATAGCTTTCTTAGTTTAAAAAAAAACAACCAAAGGCTAAATATCAGTTTGAATCGTTGTATAATTTCTTTTAAAATAAATTCGTTTATGCTATTTTGGTTTAAAAAGTAACATTTATCCTTGCAAATGCGACACATATAAGATAAGCATGGCAGCATGAAATGTGTTTGGAAGTATGTTTTGAAAAAAAATAATAAAGAAACAAGGTGATACTATATTCACAATTCATTTTATTCTACAATAAAAAGTCTAAACCTTCCTGTCTTCATAGAAACAAAAAAAAATACTCACGCAACTTATTACTAAGAGTAAAACACAATAATTTACAATTCAGAACAACATCTTTAATGCACATCTAAAGATGTGCTAAAGATGAGTTGTCAGTGTCTGCGTGGTCGAGTGGCTGGGTAAAAGACTTTTAACCCAGAAGACACGAGTTCGAATCTTAATCACGGAATGACACGATAATCTGACCCTAGAAAGGAAATAAAAAAGCTTATCTAACTTCACTAAATAGTGTTAAAAAAAAGATAGTCGACGATTTTTGAAGACATGTGTAAGAAGACGAGTAATGTGAAGACCCGTGTTCTAATGACCCCATGTCGTTATGACCCGTGATGTGAGAACCCATGTTACGAGGACCTGTGTCTTAGTGAGGCCAATAATTGCAGTGATTATGCAGGTTCTGTGTGTATTTTGAGCCTATTGTAGAAGGACAAGGGGATCTGTGGGGGGTGTGTGTTGTGTGATGTAGCCTATGATGATGCCCAAGTTCTACAAACTAGAAAAAAAAGTACCTCTTCATATATTTTTTAAGTAGCAGGCATGTACATTTTTTTTCTATAACGTCTCAGTGAAGCCAATAATTGTAGTGTTTAAGCAGGTGCTGTGTGTATTATGAGCCTTTTGTTGTTTCATGCTGATGATGGTTGCAAGGTATCAGTATTAGTGACCTTGCAAGTATTATAGTATTATAGATAGGCCGGTTTGAGGGAGGTGTTATATTGTTGACAAGATGATCTGGATTTGATTTATGTTATAATAATATGGTATTCGATGCATGATATGTAAGAGGTTTGTTTTCTTAGCGTGGAAGGAACCCAGTTGATTAGTATGATGCTGTTATATTGTTTTATGATAATTTGGTGTCGTCATCCGGCCAGAAAGGGATTGTTCGTTGGTCGGTTGCTTCATCGGTAGTTAGTTGAATATGGCGATTTTTTCAAGACTGAGGATGCAGTCAGATTTTTTTGTTCCGGTAACTCGGGGATGTACCGAGTACCTGGTCATGGATTTAAGGGTTCAGGGAAAATATTCCTCTAAATGAAATCATATTGGGTTACTGAAGATGTTGACGATTATTATTGGTACTTGTCATTGTAACATGAGATGAATGTGCGCAGGTGATATAATTAATTATGAAATGTGATGTGGTTACTTAATTACTTGGCACCAAAGTATTACGCGAGATGTAATTTATTGTATAAATAATGTAGCGTAGTTAACAGAAGAGGTACTACATTAGATTAAGTCTAATACATATTTGGTTACTGAAGATGATGACGATAGTTATTGGTACTTGTCATTGTAACATATGAGATGAAAATATGCAAATAGTGGTGATGTAATGAATTATAAAATGTGATGTGGTTACTGAATTACTTAGCACTAAATTATCACGTGTAATATGAATTACTGTATAAATAATGTAGCGTAGTTAAAAGAAGACGTACTACGTTAGAATAAGTTTACTGCATTAGGTTAGAGAGACTATGTTAGATAATGATAACCGATCAGTGTGACATGTTGTTTTCCCTAGAATTAATTTCTTTTCAGTGGATCTGAGGTGATGGGTTAAGGTCCATGACGGTATTGTATGGAATGCCTGAACTTTACATGATGAAACAACGTGAAGTGTGTTTGTAGGATGTATACCAAACCAGAGATCAGATACGTATACTTTGCAGAATCGTCAACTTGTGTTTGTGTGTGTGTGTGGAGAGATGAACTAAACAGAAACTTCTAGAATTGTTTATTGTTTTAAACTTGAAGAAAATATGCTTTTGCCATAGTTTACATTGTTAGGTAAAACATTAAGATTTATATCTATTAATGCTGCCCACATTAAGATTTATTTACATTAATTCTGCCCACGGCAACATTTCTCTCAATTAATGCGGCCCACGGCCCTATTAACACGACCCACCACATCAACATTTATAATGCACAGTTTCAAAAAAAAATGTTGTAGGTTCTTTTTATTAAAATATCTTCACTGATCATATTTATCCTCTAAAATCATTACATTCGCTCGGTATAATTATTCCTCTCAATAAGTATAATCAATTCATTTTCCTGCATAATCATTTAATTCATCATAAATAGTTATTTCTTTTACGATGCATAATCATTTCATTTGCAATACACAGTATTTACAAGACTTTTTTGTAAAAAAAAATCACATTATGTTTTTACTATCATTTCATGTACCATGTATATTCAATACATTCAGTAAGACGGACTCGAATTTGTATGATGTTCTTAAGTCCACCCAGCTCTAAAGGGTACCTGACTAACGTTACGGAAAGTAAAGGCAGCTGGGCATAGTGCTGAGTACACTATCTCTCATATACTGAGGTCAAGGAAACAGGTGAACTCTACTTCATCCGCACTAATGAAGGTCCGCTCCGAAAAGCTATCTAAATTTTAATTCTTACTTAGGCATAATTAATAACTTCATCCAACTTGTGATACTCCTACATCCATGGTATAGTATATAGTTACCACATTAAACAAGTAGTAAAAATATATTAGTTGTATTACCAGCATAGTCAGCTGATGAAGTTGAAGCACCATTTATAAGTACAGAAGATTTGACCACTGATTCAAACATGTTTTACACCTGACAATGGACGTTTACTGCTGGCCTGACAATCTAGAGTTCGTATCCTTGGCTCGCGTCTATAGAACGTCCCTGAGTCCACCCAGCTCTGAAGGGTACCCGACTCACGTTAGGGCAACCAAGGCGGCTGGGCATACTATCTGACCACACTATCCCCTGTATACCGTGATCGTTGAAACAGAGAAACTATGCTTCATCTGCTTCATGTATATCTTAGGAAGAACGGGAATAGATGATGAATATAAGATGCCTACCCTGATTTCAATAATATCAAAACGTTTCATAGCTTTCTCGTTAATTCACTCCGGATTATACACTGCGAGGAATGAGTAATCCAATACCATTACTGAAGAGTTAAGTAGATTAAATAAATAATACATTAAAATGTTAACTACTACGATTCTGCATGGTATTAGGACAGTCACATATGTTGATATGTCCCCTTGCAATACTTTCTACTCACATCACTCACAGTTGGGGTGGGGTGAGGGGCTCTTAATTATACTAGTTTTAAAATCTCTCATTAAATGATTTATTAAAGACTTTGGAGTGGGTCAGCCGTGAAAGCGATAGTCATGATATAGTTAGAATACAGTGGCACAGATTAGAGAAGGACTTGCCAGTAAAAATCCCTGAAAGGGGAGTGGTTAAAACCAGCGTTTCTTTCAGGCGTGTCTTCGGGTGAGCTTAGCCCCCCCCCCCCCCACCCCCAAGGCACGTCTAGCGCCCCCTACAAATATAATTTATATAGAAATTACATACTTTTATCAGTGTCCGACCCAACTCATAACAATTAGGTCAACCCCCCACCCCCCACCACAAAAAGTTTCAAGTGCCCCACCCCCCTACCATCCTGGAGAAAAAAGTCTAAAAAAAATCATGTTCCTACTTATATGACGCTGCTTAACGAAAAGAGACTTAAAATCGTGGTCATCTTGGATGGGTGCTTCAAGATCGGAGGTGGGGGAGGGGGGGGGTGCGGCTTCTTATGAAGACATGTATAGAAAGAACAGCGGATGACGAGGTTTAAAAGTTCCGCTTTTAAAATCATGACGTCAATTATCGATTGCCTCTCAACATAGTATCATGCATATTAAAGTTAAACATAAAATGCGTATGAATGACAGAGATGACAAATTAATTACACCATAATGATAATCTCTCTCAGCGTTATTCAATATTTAAATAAAAAGCCCAATGTACAAGAAATATCGTTTTCTCATAAATACAAACGTACACTATTCATGTACGCTAAATAGATTACACAAAAACACATTTCACCGATTAACCGGAAGTAGAATGACCACACATCTCACACACTCGTCGCTATGGTAATTGGCTTGTAAACATCCACACTGAAACACATCCCCCAGCAGTTTTTCCCACAAATCTTCTCCGGATATGACGTAGACACTCAGCAGAGCCTTATAACAGGGAGACAACTTTTTTGCACGAGCTGGCTGTAGGCAGAACTGAAGGCGCAGAACTATCAAGCACTGTAGACCTGTAGGACTGTAAACTATGATCTGAGAATCAGCCGAGGTTTCCGTTTTGACGGAGAAATAAATATCGGATAGGAAAATTAAAATGTTGGTCAGGATTAGGGCCAAGGATACACATAATTGCTGCTCCATGAAATACGGGAATTCTCGAGCCTAGCTGTTTTACTTACAGCCTAGAAATGTTTACTTAACTAATGTCTATAAGGTTTTTAAATAAAACATGTTAAAAATGCGAAAAGTCTGAAAAATTATTAAACTACATGAATAGAAGCTCAATCATAATAATATGAGCAGATAAATACAGTTTTTGTATCATCTAACTAGGTTGTTGAGTTAAATAAAATAATGACATAGCTTTCGTTAAAACATTTTAAACTAATCAAGTTGTAATTGTCAAGAAAGTTCAGTAAAATTACGAAAGGATCTTTTAAGTATGAATAAATTATATAAATAGAAAACGTAATTAACTCCTTTTCCTTCATTTAAGATTTAACAATACGACGATTCTAATTTAAACATAACCCAGAAAATAAGCCTGGCAATAGAATCGCATCATAAAATCAAGATTTAAAACAACAATCTCCACGTAACTATATTAACACAGCTTATTCAATAAAGCATAAAATCGGGGATAATAAACTACATCACACAAAAATAGCGCAAAATGTCGTAAACCATGCAAACAGTAACAGCATGTAACAATGTTCTTTATCAAAGATATTAGCTAATAATACTTCAGCGAAAAAAACAGCTTGAAATTAATTCCACAACAAAAAAACAATAATAAAATATTGTTTTCATCAACTTAATGCGTTGTTGTTTTTTAATTGAGTGAAAGAATATTTAATGCCATCGCTAGATCGAGATGGTTTTCAGTCCAAACTGCTACTCTTCAAGAAGGTAAGTTCTGATATCGTACATTCTAGTTTTAGGGTTAAATTCTTTTATAATTTACGACTAAAGGGTTAGGTTATTAACGCTAAAATTTACTGTTAAAGGGTTAAGTTCTTTTATGATTCACAGCTAGAGGGTTGTCCTTAACGCTAGCATTCACGACTAATGGGTTAAGTTCTTCTATTATTCACGGCTAAAGGGTTATGTTAACGCTAACATTCACTTTTAAAGGGTTACGTTCTTTTATGATTCACAGCTAGAGGGTTGTCCTTAACACTAGCATTCACAACTAAAGGGTTAAGTTATTTTATTATTCACGGCTAAAGGGTTAAGTTCTTTTATTATTCACGGCTAACGGGTTATGTTAACGCTAACATTCACTGTTAAAGGGTTAAGTTCTTTTATGATTCACAGCTAGAGTGTTGTCCTTAACGCTAGCATTCACGACTAATGAGTTAAGTTATTTTATTATTCACGGCTAAAGGGTTAAGTTCTTTTATTATTCACGGTTAGAGGGTTATGTTAACGCTAACATTCAATGTTAAAGGGTTAAGTTCTTTTATGATTCACAGCTAGAGTGTTGTCCTTAACGCTAGCATTCACGGCTAAAGGGTTGAGTTTTTAACGCTATTATTTACAGCTAAAAAGTTAAGTTCTTTACGCTAACAATCACAGCGAACGAGTTAAGTTCTTAACTCTATCATTAGCAGATCAATTTTTAAGCTACAAACGCCTTCACGGTCTAGTTTTAAACGCCGTTCTTCGTTTTTAAATTGTGAAGTTTTTAATGCTTTCATTCACTGTTAAACGGTAAAGTTCTGAATGCTATCAAAGTTTTTGAGCCGCAGCAATTTCATTCCCTGTTAATGAAGAGGTAACATTTCCTTGTTCGGTAACTTGCGGTAATGAAATGATAATTTGGCCCACGCTTGTCTTTATGGTTATTTAAATAGTGGTACTTTATATTATTTATTTAAAGAATTTTTTTTTCTTTTAGTACATAATTATAAAAATATTTTAAATTAAAACTAAAAAGTTTTCTATGAATAAAAAATTGAAGAGGTTACAAAATGCTCAGTTCTACAGGGTTCGATAGAAATCTGTACTCTTTAACTATTTTCGTTGTTGACTTGCTAAAGATGGAAAATTGGATTGTTAAGCGGTATTGATAATCGCTGGTGCTACTTCTCTAAAGTCTTAAGATGACGATTTTTAAAAAAAAAATCAAATTATTTCCCACTTAACCGATGAATAGTATTTTGAAATGTACTTGATACTTCAGCACGGATCTATAAAAAAAAAAAAAAAAAAAAAAATATTTTTTTTTATATAATTAGATTTTTCGATTTTTTAAAAATCGATTCCTTTTAAAAAAAAAATAAAAACCCAGTTCAGAAACAAGTTAAATGTTGATTAATGGCGTAGGCCCTTGTAAACTCTTGACCCAAATGTTGTGATAGCATTTTCAGTAAACCAAGGGTCATACTAAATCCCAAGAACGAAGAAACATACGAGAAAACGCACTAACTACAGCTCTTTAAAATATACCTTCGGTTCCTTTAAGTGACTTGCTCGTGATTGAATAATCAATCATCCTCAACGATCTTATTCTCAATGGTTGTCGTAAATTAATCAATCAGTCAAGAACCAGAACGTATCGATGACAAAAACTGTTTACCAATATCTATATATATATATATATATATATATATATATATATATATATATATCAATTAACTTCATAATTGCACCAAACCTGAATGTTTAAATAACACTAACTGAAAAAAAAATATCAACATTTTCGAGGTAGCTAATAGTTGTAGGTTTTTATAGAAATCTCAATCCTCACTATTTAACAAATGGATCTATCATTAGAAGTTTTAACTAGACAAATGTAGTATTAGGTAAGTATTAGTACAACAATATATAATCTGCGATAATCTACTATCAGATCAGAGGCGTAGCGACCCTTCCCGGCGCCCGGGGACATACTTTCAATTTGACGCCCCCCCTCAGGAGCAAATTTTGGATTTGCACCCCCCCCCTCGAACTTTTCATTTGCACCCCCCCCTCTAACTTTTCATTTGCACACCCCCCCCTCCCTCAAACTTTCGATTTTGCACCCCCCCCCCCTCGAACTTTTCATTTGCACCCCCCCCCCCCCCTCTAACTTTTCATTTGCACCCCCCCTCAAACTTTCAATTTGGCGCCCCCCCTAAGGTCGGCGCCCGGGGACTTATGTCCCCCCGCCCCCCCCCCCTCGCTATGCCTCTGTATCAGATATTTTAAACTTGGTGATTATTTATCTTAACTTCATGTTGTAATTCAAAGCAAATAACATTAAATATGATTAAATGAAACAGGCATGCCGAGCTTAATCTATGTTTTTTAAAAATTATATTTATAAATCATATAATAGTGTAATGTAGTTTAAAATTCATTGTATAAATCATAATCCCAGAGAGACACATAAAAACCATCTGATAACTATACTTAGCTAGCCACTTATATCATAATTCTATTTTTCTTATGGTTTTTAAAGTATTTATTGTATAAAAAGGTCATAAACAAGATAGTGGCATGTCTCTCTATTGACAATATTTAGTTACATTGTTAATACCATAGTTATATTTTTATGTGTTTTTACATATCTATTACAAAAGTAAGTCAGCAGCATAAAGCCATCTAAAGAATATAGTTAGCAAAAGATACATGATTCTATTTTTTTATGGGTTTTCCTTTTACTCGCTATTTATTGTACTAGCAAATCATTACCTCAGAGACATAAAAGCCCTCTAATATATAATATATAGTTAATATAAATAGCTGATACCATACTTCTATTTTTTTGTTCATTGTAAGGCCATAACCCAAGACAGCGATATAAAAGACCTCTAATGACTAAATATAACTTAGCCAAACTCGATTGTTGTTTGTTTTTTTTTAATTTATTGTGCAAGCAAGTCATAATTCCAGATAGCGACATAAAAGTCCTCTAATGGCAGCATTAAGTCAAAGAGCTGAAACCAGAATTCTATTTTTTCACGGTATTTTATTTACTCAAAAAGCAAGTCATAACATCAGATACATGAAATCCATCTAATGATAATATTAAGTCAAAGAGCTGATACCACAATTCTACTTTATTATGTTTGTTTTTTTTAATTTGTTCTACAAGCAAGTCAACATCAGAGACACGAAACCCTTTTAATATACAATATTGAGTTAAACTGCTGATACCATTATCAGATTTTTCTTTTGGCTTTCCAGCTAATCTCGGCTACACGACCATCAGCACTAAAACGATGAACAACACAAGTGAACCCTACGCCGAACCTGATATCATCTCTAATGAAGCGCAGTACATGATCAACCTCTGGCTTATGGCTGTAGCCACAACCGTCGCAGCCATCCCAGCCATGATCACAAACTACATCAACGTGATCGTCTTCATACGTCAGGGTCTAAAAGAGCACGTGAATTTCACGCTGTTTTATTTGTCCATCAGCGACTTACTCATGGCTGTGAGTGTGTTGGGGTACTCACTCTTATACTGTGGAAAAGTTTCCCTGCTTCCGAGCACCATTGAGTACGAGTCTTTCATCGGTTTGTTTGTATGGATGCGGTGTTTATTCGCGGATTTATCCTCCGCGTTGACGGTGTTTATTTCCACTGTAAGATGTCTATGCGTGACTCTACCTTTTAAGTTTAATTCTTCTTTCACTTTGAAGAAAACGCAGATCATCATAGCGATTATAACTTTATTTGTTTTAGTGGATTATGTCCCGATTTTGGGGACGATAGAACTTGTTGGGGATTTAGACGAAAATGGTGTTGTTATATACAGGCTTGTGTATTCGGAAGTGAATTTTATAATGAGCAGGGTCAATGATTACTTGTTTGGGTCTATCCTAGCCGGAATGTGCCAGTTTTGCGTGTTCGTCTGCGCCGTGTTAATGTTACGAGGTCTTCGGAAATCTTCGGAAGTCCGAGAAAACACGAGGAAACTTCAGTCGAAGAAGGACTCCGGCAAGCAGACGGCGCAGGTGTTGTCGACGAAGGAGAAGCGCGTGGTGAAGATGGTGCTGATGATGGCGTGTCTGTACCTGCCAGCCAGCGTCCCGCAGATCACGGCGTCGCTCGCGCGCGTGCACGTGCCGGGCCTCGTTCTGGGCACCTACACCAACGCCTGTGACACCATTGTGGGCGTTGTGCTGTTCTGCTCCACCGTCTATGCCTCCGTCAACATCTTCATCTACCACACTTTCAGTACCAACTTCCGGTTAAATTTCATCTGCCGTAAAAGCAAATAGTACGACGGAGTGGTCTAGTTGTAGAGAGCTAGACTGCTAACCCCTAAGTCTCGAGTTTGAATCTGAGTTCAAGACAGTAGATCGTCCCTGAGGCCACCCAGATCTGACGGCTACCTAACTCACGTTAGGTAAAGTAAAGGCGGCTGACCACACTATCCCTTCAAATGCCGTTGTCAAGAAACATATCAACTCCACTTGCCCATAGACCTTCATGTGTGGAAGGGGAACTTTACTGTTAAAAGATAATAAAAACAATAAATAAAAAAGCTATTTTTCTACCAAAAGTATGTTGAAAGCTACCGGACCAAAAAAAGGCTCTAAAATTTTTCTTCACAATGGAATTTTCAATACGAAATCACATAGGTTTTGCTAATTCAAATGCTGAAACTGAAAATACGTTTGTACACGAATTAGGTTTTCACAATTTGAAATTAAGAATTTATTTCCGTAGTAATTTGCAAAGTTTTTTATGTGTAAAAAGTATCATCGTGCTTATTGTATGTGTGTGTGAGTAGCGTACAATAGTAAGTAGAGTAAAAAAAAAAACTGTAAAAGCGTTTGCATTTGTATGTTTTATGTATGTCCATTCATTAAATGTATATGTAACATAAAAGCAAACCCATTTAAAAAGAATAGTTGTAGTACAAAAATGTATTCGGTTTTATTTTATTTTATTCTGTAATTTGCTTCACGTGGTCTTGATTTAATGTTATGACTCAATTTCCATTTAATTTTTCACCATCGTTTTCACAGTTTCAATGCACACAAACTCTTTCCCTATGAAAACGCCGCTTGCATTGTTTGCCCTCCGGATATTAAAACGACATCAAAACTTAAATGGTGGCCGGAAAGAACCGCAACGGAAAAAAGCGCAACGGAAAAAAGCGCAAAACAAAAAGCGCAACGGAAAAAAGCGCACATGGAAAAAAGCGCAAAGAGAAAAAAGCGCACACAGAAAAAAGCGCAAAGAGAAAAAAGCGCAAACAGAAAAAAGCGCAAACAGAAAAAAGCGCACACAGAAAAAAGCGCAAAGAGAAAAAAGCGCACACAGAAAAAAGCGCAAAGAGAAAAAAGTGCACACAGAAAAAAGCGCAAACAGAAAAAAGCGCACACAGAAAAAAGCGCAAAGAGAAAAAAGCGCACACAGAAAAAAGCGCAAAGAGAAAAAAGTGCACACAGAAAAAAGCGCAAACAGAAAAAAGCGCAAACGGAAAAAAGCGCAAAGAGAAAAAAGCGCAAACGGAAAAAAGCGCAAAGAGAAAAAAGCGCACACGGAAAAAAGCGCAAACGGAAAAAAGCGCAAACGGAAAAAAGCGCAAACTGAAAAAAAGCGCAAACGGAAAAAAGCGCAAAGAGAAAAAAGCGCACACAGAAAAAAGCGCAAACAGAAAAAAGCGCAAACGGAAAAAAACGCACACAGAAAAAAGCGCAAACGGAAAAAAACGCAAACTGAAAAAAGCGCAACAACAAAAAGCGCAACGGAAAAAAGCGCAAAAAAAGGAAAAAAAAACGCAAACAGAAAAAAGCACACACAGAAAACTGTGCACACCGAAAAATGCACAGAGAGCCATTTTCGCACAAAGACCTATAAGGACTAGATGACACATTTATACATGATTGTTAGGGCTGCTGTGAGAGTGTTGTGTTTGACCTGACGCGATATACTACCACTTAAAGCATACCACTACCATGTGCATTCACATCACCACGATACAGGCGATAATCGCTTGACACAACGTCTATTTTTTTCTTGTTCACTATTTATTCAACGACTATTCTCGAATAAATAAACATAAAACTATCCTTGATATTGGCATTACACGGAGTATCTCGTACATGCTCCCTAGTCCCAAGCTTGCATTCTATAACAACCCGTTTCTATCGCAAAACTTCACTCTCTTTCTTCCGAGTCATCAAACATGCATTCGCTATATCTCTCGCACCAACATTCATTCGCACAAAAATACCCTGATAAAACACACATCATAATCATTATGTATTTAATATTATTTCATCATGATGTACCTATATCTACCTACCTATCTACCTACCTACGTACGTACGTACCTACCTACCTACTTACCTACCTACGTACCTAACACCTACCTGCGTACCTACCTTCGTACCTACCTAGCTACCTATGTACCTTCCTACCTACCTATGTACCTACCTACCTACGCACCTACCTACCTACGTACCTTCCTACCTACCTACCTACCTAAGTACCTACCTACCTACCTAGCTACGCACCTACCTACCTACCCACCTACATACCTACCTACGTACCTACCTACGTACCTACCTACCTACTTAACTAATATGATCCGACATGGTTATCATATCGGCTCTAGAATATATTTGCACTGGCTGGCAAAAGAAAAGATTTCTTAATCTCAACATTTTATGGACGCTGTATTCTTAAAATTGTCCAAGTGAATTAAAAAGCGTGTTTACGTTGTTCACTAGTCAGCTTATGACGTCACATTATAACACAAATCATATTATTTATTTGCAGTTGTTATACTTCAAAAATAAAAACAAGAGATGTTGATAAGCTGTGTTAGATATTAAGTATGAATTTTAATAATCTTTTACTATTAGAATAAAAGAGAATGATCATATAGAATGGAATAAAAACAATAATTATTATTGCAACACAAATAACATTTTTGTTGCAAAAACAGTTGTGAATTAATTGATTTCAGAAAACTGTCTAGCCAAAACTATAATAACAGAACTTGGAAAAGCTGTTAAGTTACTGTCGAGAAAAAAACAACTACAGAAAGCTTTATTGTAAATTGGATAATCTCCTTAAATACTGAAGTTTGTCTTCATGTAGATCATACATCTCGACAGCTGCTGCCACTGTCTGATGTAGTAAGTCGTACTTTCTTTTCTTTACCTCTAGTCGACCAAATTGCACATTCACCATGGTTAACTTATGACATGCAAGGTCCCTCATTAAGCCATCAAACAGAAACCACACACTTGGATGGCTACAGTTGAAAACAGAATTTAGAGCATTGTGAAAGCCCTCACAGCAATTTGTGGTTTTCTGTGACTGATCTAAGGCAGCCTCATAGTGATTACACGTTGATATGGGAAATTTCCACCCCCCTCAACCTTTCTATTTATTTTTCCAACCCATTTTGGCGCGCCCTAAGCTCGGCGCCCGGGTACATATGTCCCACCCACGCCCCCCCCCCCCCCTCGCTACGCTAATGATATATATATATATATATATATATATATATATATATATATATATATTGGGTAGGTAGGTAGGTAGGAAGGTTGGTAGGTAGATATAGGTACATCATGATGAAATAATATTAAATACATAATGATTATGATGTGTGTTTTATCAGGGTATTTTTGTGCGAATGAATGTTGGTGCGAGAGATATAACGAATGCATGTTTGATGACTCGGAAGAAAGAGAGTGAAGTTTTGCGATAGAAACGGGTTGTTATAGAATGCAAGCTTGGGACTAGGGAGCATGTACGAGATACTCCGTGTAATGCCAATATCAAGGATAGTTTTATGTTTATTTATTCGAGAATAGTCGTTGAATAAATAGTGAACAAGAAAAAAATAGACGTTGTGTCAAGCGATTATCGCCTGTATCGTGGTGATGTGAATGCACATGGTAGTGGTATGCTTTAAGTGGTAGTATATCACGTCAGGTCAAACACAACACTCTCACAGCAGCCCTAACAATCATGTATAAATGTGTCATCTAGTCCTTATAGGTCTTTGTGCGAAAATGGCTCTGTGCATTTTTCGGTGTGCACAGTTTTCTGTGTGTGCTTTTTTTCTGTTTGCGTTTTTTTTCTTTTTTTGCGCTTTTTTCCGTTGCGCATTTTGGCGTTGCGCTTTTTTCAGTTTGCGTTTTTTTCCGTTTGCGCTTTTTTCTGTGTGCGCTTTTTTCCGTTTGCGCTTTTTTCTGTTTGCGCTTTTTTCTGTGTGCGCTTTTTTCTCTTTGCGCTTTTTTCCGTTTGCGCTTTTTTCTGTTTGCGCTTTTTTCCGTTTGCGCTTTTTTTCCGTTTGCGCTTTTTTCCGTGTGCGCTTTTTTTCTCTTTGCGCTTTTTTCCGTTTGCGCTTTTTTCTCTTTGCGCTTTTTTCCGTTTGCGCTTTTTTCTGTTTGCGCTTTTTTTCTGTGTGCGCTTTTTTCCGTTTGCGCTTTTTTCCGTGTGCGCTTTTTTCTGTTTGCGCTTTTTTCTGTGTGCGCTTTTTTCTGTTTGCGCTTTTTTCTGTTTGCGCTTTTTTCTGTTTGCGCTTTTTTCTCTTTGCGCTTTTTTCTGTGTGCGCTTTTTTCTCTTTGCGCTTTTTTCCATGTGCGCTTTTTTCCGTTGCGCTTTTTGTTTTGCGCTTTTTTCCGTTGCGCTTTTTTCCGTTGCGGTTCTTTCTGGGAACCAACTTAAATATAGTCTGTGCTAAATTTTCGGATATTTTGGTATGGCTAATCAACAAGTACCGACACACGATATCGCGTGCACATCTACACACTATACAAGTCTACTTCACATTTCTACACATGTCTACTTCAAACTACCATTGAACACAAATGTTAGTTCTGAATGAAAAAAACACTACAAATGAAACAAACACTACAGTACAGCCGTTGTCACAAATCCTTTATTTACATGAATACGGTAATGAGGAAGTAAATTGACGTGAGTGACATCTAGTTGGGGTAACACAAAATTGTAAAACAGAACGGGATACAACATGATACAATGGTATACAAGGAGATACAAACAGGATACTGCGGGATACAACATGATTATAAGGTATGCAGTGGGATAGATACTGTAGGATACAAGGGATTACAAAAAGATACAAGATACGAGAAGATATAACAGGATACAAGGGGAAAGATACTACGGGATACAAGGGGATGCAACGGGGTAAAGTGAGATTCAATGGAATACAACGGGATACAAGGGGGGAGAACAGGATTCAACGATCCAACGAGATTGTGTTCTATTTGTTAGCCGGTCGTCTCACTTCAATACAATGTCTAGCACTACTTAGATATTAACTTACACAAAACTATTGACTCATTATAGTAGCCTACCATTCATTCCTGTTTTCAGCTCTTGAGACTAGACACCCCCTCGCCCGGACATGCCCCCCCCCCCTCCCCTCCTTCTCCTTTCCGCTTGCTGATGTTGATGCGTGAATTTCCGATGAGCCATAACTACAGGTGATCATTCAACCTTGAATAACACATCCGTATGGTTAGTCAAGTAGTACGTGAATGTTTATCAGCAATCCATCTCGTATTTACATCAGTTGCTTGTAAAACCTACAAGGAATAAAGGGCACACATAAGGCCGTTTGTTTGGAGAAGAGGTAGGTGTTCGTTCATACTTAAAACTTTCAGTACAGGCGTGTTCATTACGTATTTACAGCTTAGTATAAAACTAAAACGTAATAAACAGTATTTAAAAAAAGAAATAGTGTTTCAATGACAACCAACAGCACATTTCTTCAAAAAGTTTCAATTACTAATCGAAATGCTGTTGTATAATTTTAAATTAAAGAGTATATTATACCAACTAAAGTAAACAAACAAAGACAGGCAATTGTTTGTTTATATATTGCACAGATGGCTACCTAGACCTCATGGTTAGTCGCCAACCTATCGTGAATTGTTTTGATTTACTGTGCCGTAATATGATTGGTCAATCATATAAATGAATCTCTCCCCATTCATTAATTTTACGCGTATGTCATTATATAGAAATTTTACTTTCTAGAAAACAACGCTTATCTAATTTATTTTTAGAACAAACAAAAACGTCGTGTACCAGCGTGTACACTAGTATTTGGCCGTTTGATGTACAGTTTTTTTGTGCCTAGCGGGCAATAAAAGAATACGCGGTTGAAAAATATTTTTACAAGCTTTTACTTAACTCACTTCCTCGTCAGTCTGTCGTCAGTCTGTCGTCAGTGTGAAAACCGAAAAGGTTGGAACATCCTATTAAATTATATTAAATTTATATGTATAACGGAATAACAACCAACATACTTCATACTATATATGTGTATATGAGTTATACATATTGCTATATATTATTATACCTATACAACATACGCACATACATCTGAATGTTTACATTCGCTGGATAAATGGCAAGTTGAGTGTGTCGTGTTGTGTGTGTCGTGTTGTGTGTGTGTGTGTAGTGTTGTCTTGTTGTGTGTGCTGTGTGTGTTGTGTTACGTGTGTCTTGTCTGTCCTCATGTTGAGTGTGTTGTCGTAATGTGTGTGTCGTGTTGTGTGTGCTCATCTTGTGTGTGTCGTGTATGTGTGTCGTGTTGTGTTGTGTTTGCTGTGTTGTTTGTGTTGTTTTACGTGTGTCTTGTTGTGTGTGCTCATGTGTGTGTCGTGTTGTGTTGCGTGTGTCTTGTGTGTCCTCATGTTGAGTGTGTTGTCGTGTTGTGTGTGTCGTGTTGTATGTCGCGTTGTGTTTGTGTTTGTGTGTTAATGTTTTGTCTGCTCATGTTGTGTGTGTCGTGTTGTGTGTGTCGTGTTGTGTGTGTCGTGTTGTGTGTGTCGTGTTGTGTGTGTCGTGTTGTGTGTGTCGTGTTGTGTGTGTCGTGTTGTGTGTGTCGTGTTGTGTGTGTCGTGTTGTGTGTGTCGTGTTGTGTGTGTCGTGTTGTGTGTTAATGTTTTGTCTGCTCATGTTGTGTGTGTCGTGTTGTGTGTGTCGTGTTGTGTGTGTCGTGTTGTGTGTGTCGTGTTGTGTGTGTCGTGTTGTGTGTGTCGTGTTGTGTGTGCTAATGTTATGTGTGTCGTGTTGTGTGTGTCGTGTTGTGTGTGTCGTGTTGTGTGTGCTAATGTTATGTGTGTCGTGTTATGTGTGTCGTGTTGTGTGTGTCGTTTTGCGTGTGTCTTGTTGTGTCCTCATGTTGAGTGTGTCGTCATGTTGTCTGTGCCGTGTTGTGTGTGTCTTGTGTGTGTCGTGTTGCGTGTGTCTTGTTGTGTGTGTTCATGTGTGTGTCGTGTATGTGTGTCGTGTGTGCTGTGTCGTGTGTGCTGTGTTGTGTGTGTTGTGTTGCGTGTGTCTTGTGTGTCCTCATGTTGAGTGTGTCGTCGTGTTGTGTGTGTCGTGTTGTGTGTGTGTTGTGTGTCTCGTGTCGTGTTTGTCGTGTTGTGTTGTGTGTGCTAATGTTTTGTGTGTCGTTTTGTGTTTGCTAATGTTTTGTGTGTCGTGTTGTGTGTGCTCATGTTGTGTGTGTCGTGTTGTGTATGTCGTGTTTTGTGTGTAGTGTCGTGTTTTGTGTGTCGTGTTGTGTGTGTCGTGTTGTGTGTGCTCATGTTGTGTGTGCTCATGTTGTGTGTGTCGTGTTGTGTGTGCTCATGTTGTGTGTGTCGTGTTGTGTGTGCTCATGTTGTGTGTGTTCATGTTGTGTGTGCTCATGTTGTGTGTGTCGTGTTGTGTGTGCTCATGTTGTGTGTGTTCATGTTGTGTGTGTGTCGTGTTGTGTGTCGTGTTTTGTGTGTAGTGTCGTGTTGTGTGTGCTCATGTTGTGTGTGCTCATGTTGTGTGTGTTCATGTTGTGTGTGTCGTGTTGTGTGTCGTGTTTTGTGTGTAGTGTCGTGTTGTGTGTGCTCATGTTGTGTGTGCTCATGTTGTGTGTGTTCATGTTGTGTGTGCTCATGTTGTGTGTGTTCATGTTGTGTGTGTTCATGTTGTGTGTGCTCATGTTGTGTGTGTTCATGTTGTGTGTGCTCATGTTGTGTGTGCTCATGTTGTGTGTGTTGTGTTGTGTGTCGTGTTGTGTGTCGTGTTGTGTGTGCTCATGCTGTGTGTGCTCATGCTGTGTGTGCTCATGTTGTGTGTGTCGTGTTTTGTGTGTCGTGTTGTGTGTGCTCATGTTGTGTGTGCTCATGTTATGTGTGTCGTGTTGTGTGTGTCGTGTTGTGTGTCGTGTTGTGTGTCGTGTTGTGTGTGCTCATGCTGTGTGTGCTCATGTTGTGTGTGCTCATGTTATGTGTGTCGTGTTGTGTGTGTCGTGTTGTGTGTGTCGTGTTGTGTGTGTCGTGTTGTGTGTGTCGTGTTGTGTGTGTCGTGTTGTGTGTGTCGTGTTGTGTGTGTCGTGTATGTGTGTGTCGAGTTGTGTGTCGTGTTGTGTGTCGTGTTGTGTGTGCTCATGCTGTGTGTGCTCATGTTTTGTGTGCTCGTATTGTGTGTGCTCATTTTGTGTGTGTCGTGTATGTGTGTCGTGTTGTGTGTGTTGTGTGCTCATGTTGTGTGTGCTAATGTTTTGTGTGTCGTGTTGTGTGTGCTAATGTGTTGTGTGTGCTCATGTTGTGTGTGCTTATGTTTTGTGTGTCGTGTTGTGTGTGTCGTGTTGTGTGCTAATGTTGAGTATTTCGTGTTAGCCCACTCCCACATATCGCCTAACACCCTTGTCAAGTGTATCAAGGTCTCTCAAGAGCACTCGAGTCAGTCTTCACTAGTCAGTCTTCATTTGTCAAGGTTCTTTTTTTAATGCACAACAAACCTGACACAGGTTTATTTTTAGCTCTTAGTTGTAGTTATTTTTAGACCGGCTCTCAGCGCATAACCATTAGGATAACGTCGAATCAATATTATGTAAGAAAGCATGAGTGAAAAACGTGTTACCAAATTAATATATTTTTTCCTTTTTGTTGCATTTCCGCTACATAAAGGTTTATCAAGTTTGCCTATCAAAATGTGCGCCATTTAATTGTTTTATCTCGAGACTAGCTGCCATGTGAGGCTCTGTTGTGTTATGTAATTGTGTAAACAGGAGATATTGTTTTCATTTATTCGACACTTGTGGAGACATTTTTTTTTTTTAAATTATTATCTCGCTCACGCCCAATTGTAAAAATGAATTTCGCAACAAATGATCAGCAAACAATGTATGTATAATAGTGCGGAATTTTAGTATTTAATTTTTAAAAAAAACTTGATTCAATTTTTCAAAGTGATAATTAAATATTAATCATCTAATTTAGTAAGATTGTTTTATATCAAAATATTTTTTTTTCGAGTCTTGACGTGAAAAGTTGAAAAGAAATAGGTCCGGTAGAAGTGTTTGAAATTTTGCTCGCACGTTTTCGACTATGGCGGACGAAAGACGGAGGAAACAAGTTAAAAATACATTCTTATGCGTTTTTTGAGGAATCGGAAAAAGCATAAAATATTACATCCGGTAACCGGAAAATACTCAAAATTTGAAAGAAAACAGATTAGATCGTCTATCTCACTTAAACACTACACAAGCTATAGGCTTTTGATAAACCGAAAGTAGAGTAGCTTCCACTTCCGGTTACTGAAAGTCGCTGAAAAGTTGATACACAACTGCTAATTTCATATAAATGAAATTTCGTCAACCTAGCTGTAAGAGTAATAGATTTATTGTGTTCACAGACAACAGAAAAACAAACAGACAAATTAAGTTAAGCTAAGTTCATTTTTTTTATGACTCGATGACGCCTAAAATGCCGAGATTTTGATAAATCTGGATTTATAATTTTTGTTCGATTAAAATAAGTCCTTCCGTATATGATGAAGTACTGAGGTGTAAAACGGTGAAAACTGTCAAAATCTCATGTGATTACAATAGGCTATATTACAACTAACTCCATAACTCTGTATACGAGAAAGTAAAAATTAATCTTAACAGATAAATACGAGCCACGTCATCATACTGTTTGCGTAGTTGGGGGTCATCCATAAATGACGTCACGCTTTTTTGACGACTTTTACCTCCCCCCCCTCCCTCCGTCACACGTCGTCACAAAAAGCCAGCTCCCCCCCCCCTAAAATGACGTCACACCTCAGCCTACAACCCCCCCACCCTACAAATTGCAGTTGAATTTTTTTTTAACAGCTATATTTTTTTCCAAAATCTTGTCTGAACTCCGTCAAAATAAAGTATTTTAATCAATTGTTTGTTATTACAATTTATTTAAAACAGTTTTCTAAAAAGCAAAATAACGTCTAAAATTCGTTTTCTAACATTGCTTTTTTATAAAGCAAAAGTGTGACGTCGCACCATCTGAACCCCCCCCCCCCCCCTCATCACACACCGTCACAAAATTGCGGACCCCACCTCCCCCCCCCCCTACGAGTGTGACGTCATTTATGGACGACCCCATTATTTTAATTTTCAATAAGAAACAAGTATTTCCAACTAACTTGGGGTTTCCCCTCAGTCAGCTACAGCTACCGGTTACAGCTAGATCTAGACTTTCCATCGCAGCAACGCAGTGTGAAGAAAATACTTCCGTTTACCATTGATAAAGTTTAGCAATATGCATTTTGTATTCTTTAGTCAGCTATTGGTGAGTTGAATCTTTTTTGTAATCTTTGTATTTTTGTGTATCAGTTGAATATGTTGTTAAATTTTATGAGTTTGTTGGGGACTAATTGCTCAGAAGATGTTTGTGAGATGTTGATGCGTGTAGTGTAGATGGTTTGTTGTTATTGAAACTCAATGGGCATCAAAGGTATCACGAAAATCCTTCATTTATTGTTATTTTTTTATATGGATAAAAGTCGTGTTTTCGTCAATTTTACCTTCATAGCGGCCTTTAAATAGAATGCATTTAAAAAATTTAAGCTTGTAAACAATTTCAAAAATTTAATATTTTCCGAATGAATAATATAAACATTGCAAACACTGATGAAAATATTATCGTTTTTTTATGTTTTGGCTACATTTTTTTCATCTAAAATATTACCTGACATTTCACTTTTGTAAGACAACCATTGGTTTGCTGTAGAGAAATACCTGATAGATTTTCTGAATACCCCACTTTGTACTCAAAACTTTGATGATAAAACGTTATTAATGAATTATACTTAACTAGCTATACCATGTGCATTTTCATTTTCATGGACAAAATGTAATCAACCAAATTGCTTTTGGATTGTTAAGAATTTTTTAGGCAACCTAAAATACTAAAAAAATCATCAAATCCATCCAATATTTAACAAATTCCGATAAACCCAAAAAAATCAGGTTTTTATAGCCATGTTTATTTCAATAGCATCGCATATGCTTTTAAATAATAATTATCTGGCATTTCGGCTTATTTCGAGAATATTCTCGTCGGTATTCATTCTGTGAAAAGTGTTGATGTTTTGTGGTCTGTGGTCAAAGTGAGGCAGTATGTTGTTGATGAGTTGATGTGTTGTCAAGTAGCTAGTTCATTCTTGTTGTGTTGATAATTTCATAGTTAAGTAAAATTATCTTATTTCACCGGTTTCTGTCAACTTTTGAATCTTCTTCTTCTTTCTTCTTCGTTCTTAATTATTAGTGTTGAAGGGGATCGAGATTTATCTGCCAGTTTGACTCGAGACTTTGTTCGAATTTATCAACGATGAGCTTTTTTGCCGACTCGACCACGCCTCCAACACAATTAAGCGTTACGTGTCAACTGGTTATGCGCCATTGAGGCCATTGACTCCGATTTCAGCCTGCTTTTCTTTTTGGATTTGCTTCCATAGCCTTTGTCCAACCAAGAACAAACTACAAGGCAGCAGTTGTTTAATTTTGGAGTTGTCTCTCCTAGAAGAGTGGCTGTCCCCAGCTAACGAGCCTAATCTGCCCGAGGGTTCGAACTAGAGACTTTTCGGTTTAGCAACCATGAACTTTACCGACTCGACCACGCCGATGACCGGAAGCAGTTTTTCCGACTTCTCAAAAAAAAAAAAAAAAAAAAAAAAAACGTAAGAATAAGTTTAAATTTGTTTTTCTATCGTTCGTAGATTTGAGAGCTGAATTTCGAAGCTTCTCCCGGACTGATTCAATTCAAATTTTTTACGTAGGTCAAGACTCAAAGACAATGCATAGCGACATAAAATGTTAATTAGATTAACTTTTTAAAACTTAATCAAGGTTTCCTTCATAACGTACGAATTTTCTGCTCTATTAAAGACATATAGTTTGCTTTAAATGATGCGCAATTATTTTCTATCTATAAGAAGTATTTTAAACAATTATTAAAAACAGGCCTAAAATCCCATCAGAGTTTCTTCCAGGCATCTCTTCGGGGGGGGCAAAGCCCCCCCTCCCCCCCGAAAAAATTTTATACTTTTAACAGTGTCCGCCCCCCCGAAGATTTCAAGTGCCCCCCCCCCCCCCCGGAGAAAAAAGTCTGGAAGAAACACTGAATCCCATTGCACTGGAAGTGCTATCGCCATTAGTTTTACTAAAGAAAATTCGAGAAAGTTTAAGGGGAGATAACTTCCGCTTTATTTATTGTTAATATTCAGTTTTTTCTGCATTTCGCATGTGATCTATGATTGCGACATATGGTATTAGAAATCGATAGTAAAGTGAGTCATGAGTCAATATTTGTGAGTGTGTGTTGTGTATGTTTTGTGTGTGCGTGTTTCATAGTCCACCAGGGGGAGGGGATAGTCACTCGAAATGCTGGGGGAGGGGGTTAAATTTACCAATGGGGGGAGGGGGGTTGACACTGGTGTAACGGGATATGGATGACAAAATGTTGAAGCTACACAATAGTGGTTGAGATGGCTTATCTAGGGATATCTTGTGCGGGTAATAGAAATAGAAAGTTGTTGCAAAACGGATTGTTTTTTTTTTTAAGGAAACACGTATAGTATATACTGCTTTAACAAAAATGTTTTTAAAAATTACAAAATTCTGAATATTTTTGAGAAATCGGAAACAAAATTAAAGTACCACTTATCGCTTAAAATTTCGTCCAGCTGACAGAAACTTCCGGATATCGGAAAACACTCAGAAATTAGAGAAAGTATAGAGTCGTATACTTAAAAATTAAAGGTTTTTTTTTTTTATTTTGTCGACCAAACTCAAACGGTAAGCCTACTCAAGTTAGGTGTTCAAATGATTGTCACTTCCGATTAACGGAAATCGCCCAAATGTTAAGAGATCTAATATTTATATTTAAAATTCTGTCTACCTCCTAACTGAAAGGGTACCCAATTTATGGGCTTTTGAGAAACTAGAAATAGAATTAGTTCCATTTCCGTTTACAGGAAATCACTCTGAAAGAAATGAAACCTAGCTATAAGATATAACATACATATTTTAAATTTTGTCGAGCTAAATAAACCGGCACTCGAATTTTCGTGTTTACACACACACACAGGCCTAGCGAGGGGGGGGGGGCGGGGGTTGCGGATCGCACCGGGTGACACCAATTAGGGGGGTGACACCAAGACAAAAAATAGCAAAATATATAGAGAAAAACTTGAGGCGGGGGGGGGTGCAAATCGAAAGTTTAAGGGGGGTGGAAATCGAAAACTTTAGGGGAAAGTGCAAATCGAAAGTTTGAGGGGGGGGGGTGCAAAATTTGAAAGTTTGTCCCCGGGAAGGGTCGCTACGTCTCTGAGGGGTGACACCATTAAGTGCCGCACCGGGTGACACCCGACCTCGCTACGCCACTGCAAAACACACAAACACACACACATACAGACATACAAACAAGATTTAAAAAACTGGGTTTTTTCGTACTCAGAAGGAAAAACCACGACATTTTTATAAATCTCAGTTGTTGTTTTTTTTTTGCACGATCTCAATGCCTCCCTTCTATTTCTTACATGAAAACAAAATGAAAAATACAATGTGACATTTCCAGCTAAAATTTTACGAATGCCATGTGTGTCTTTGTCTGTATAGTAATTTAAAACGGAAATTCAAATATTTTTCTTAGATCTTATCAGCGTGTATAAGTAATTTTTTTACAGTAGATAATTACATATATTTTTTTGCAGTAGATAATTTACATGTATTTTTTTAAGCAAAACATCTTAAATGTTTATAGTTCTTTATTTTATTATAGATGAAACAGTAACTGGACATTCACACACTTTTTTTTTTGATGAAGCCAACTGCGTGTTATCGAGAATGTCACGTGGAATGTACGATCCATCATTAGGTTTGTTATCCACGTAACATAACGTAATTTTAAACAAAAAACAGATAACAACTCAGGGATATGGGTAAATACTTGAGTAAAGTCAGAATCGTGTTGGGGTCGGTAGGGGCGAATACCATGGTTTGACTTAAGTCAGAATCGCGCTGGGTTTTGTAGGACGCCACTTAGTATACAAGTGTATTATTTCAGACTTTTATCCAGGGGGAGGGGGGGGGTGGTCACTTGAAACTTTGGGGGGGGGAATAAATTTTCCAATGGGGGGGGGGGGGGTTGAAACTGGTAAAAGTAAATATTTTCTATATAAATTATATTTCGTTGGGGGGAGGGGAGAGTACGGTAGAGATGCTTGAAAGAAACAGTAGAGTCTGCCCAGACATGGTGAGTAACTAACTCACGTTAGGGAAAGTAGAGGCGGCTGGGCATAGTGCTGACCACACCAACCCCTTGTCTGCCGAGGCAGATCAACTCTACTTCAACTACCACTAGTTGTCTTAGACGCAAATGGGGAGAGATAGATGGCCACACCAACCCCTTGTCTGCCGAGGCAGATCAACTCTACTTCATCTACCACATGTTGTCTAAGACGCAAATGGGGAAAGATAGATGATGAGATGAAAAAAAAAATATTACGTAGAGTTGGTATCTCGCTATAAACTAACGAGTTGAGTTCTGGAGCGTCTAACATTTTTTATCATTAGGCAAGATAGTTTTGTATTTATTTATTTTTTTTTGTTACAAAATAAAAATTATTTTTAGTCTACACAATACTTATTAATCACGTTTTCATTTAATTTACTACGTTGATAGTCCAGCATGAGGTGTGTGAAGAAGAAGAAGCTGAAACTGAACCATTTTCAACAGTAGACAGGCGTCTAAGCGCCAAGAAGTGTATAAAAAACCCCGGGCATCCAAATTTTATCCCGGTGAAAGAATTCAATCCTTTCCATCTGCCTGAGGATACTCGTGACGAAGAGCTTTTTCGTCTGGTAATGTTTTTGATTCATTTAACGGTGAAGGTAACGAATAAACACATAAGTGAACGTAGACCGGAGTATTGCAAAGGAACTGATCAGAAATACCCATTCGCGGATAATAGAGGACAATATATAACAATATGCGGTACTGGGACTTGTAGATTTGTGAAGATGATTTACGCGCCTTCAAAATGGTGCGAATGTCAGAAGTGCACGACATTGCACAAACGTGGAAAAGTTGTGGCCCGTATTATGATCTACACGGCAAAGCACGTGGTTTACGATAAAATCGAGGCACAACACAGCACAGTGACGTTTAATTACGATGATAGCACGGACGCTGGCGTCAGTTTTAGAGTAGTTGATGTTGAGAAAACACGCGTTGATTCTGATTTTACCTGTCTGATAATTGATGTCTGTGATGTTAAAATGGCGGAAGGCATCAAGAAGATGCGAGATGAACTATACAAACTTTGCCAAACAGTTCGGAAGAAATACAAAGATAAGGGGAAAAAACTCACGATAATTGTGTCGCACCCCCACGGGTGTTCGAAACACATCTCAGTCGGCGAGTGGTTAGAACGAGAGCGACACGAGGGCCGCATGACGAATTACAGCTACACGGCGTGCACGTGTCCCGGAAGTAGCGGGGCGCTGGTGTACACGCTCGGCTGGCGAGGGTGGAAGTCAGCACACGTGCACTGCGGCGTGATTGATTTGGTCAACGTGTCGGCCAAGGGAGGCGATGAAGTTAATGACTAGGCCTAGCCTAGTTTAGATACATTTCTCTCCCCTTAACAATAACACGGCCAGTGCACACAGTGAACATGGCTTGCTTATTCAAAAACTGCACAGACCACTAAGTCAAGGGAGACTACCAAGTTAATGGTTTGTTATCTGCCCCTGAGATCAAATTATTTCTATCGCCCTGAGCGATCGTGCGACAAGTGTGTTTGCGAAGGGAAGTAAGTCCTTATACTTAACAAGCTCCACCCTCCTACGCTTAGCTCCCTTGTCTAGACGATTCAATTCAAAACTGATGTGGTTCATTTTACTGAAAAATATTTAAATAAATTTGTAATTTATCGCTTTAGGCAGAGGCGTAGCGAGGGGGGAGGGGGGTGCGGACCGCACCGGGTGACACCATTTAGGGGGTTGACACCAAGGCAAAACATAGTAAAATATATAGAGAAAAACTTGAGGGGGGGGGGTGCAAATCAAAAGTTTGAGCGGGGTGCAAATCGAAAGTTTGAGGGGGGGGGGTGCAAATAAAAAATATGATAGTTTGTCCCCGGGAAGGGTCGCTACGCCTCTGGGGGCTGACACCATTAAGTGCCGCACCGGGTGACACCCGACCTCGCTACGCCACTGGCTTTAGGTACGTAAAATCGGCCGAGGCTAGTCATGTGAAAAGAAAGTGCCTCATTAAATATTAGAATCTAGTAATTATTTCACATTTTTAGGAAGATTTATGTTTTGAAAGTTACAAAAATGTTTCAAATTTTCATTCATGTACCTGTTTTTAAAACAATTGTATTAAAACTTTTCAATAATAAATAAAGACTAACGATGTTTTCATCAGATGCAACAAAGCTCGTTTACTTTAGCAGCCATCTTGTTTAAGTTTTTTTTTTTTGTAAACTTATAGCGGGAGAATCAGGGGAAGCCACTCTATATAACAAATGGCTGCTGTTTATATAGCAAATTTTGCTCGCAAACACTGCTGTTTAAAGTTAATTTCTGGCCTATATTAATATATTTTTGCTATTAATGTTGGTTTATTATTCAATTATCTATAATATTTGACACACATATATCACAATATACTTTTATTAAAGCCTTAACAACGAGGCAACTTTGTCGCACATTACTAGCCTCGGCCGATTTTACGTACCTAAAACCATAAATTACCAATAAATTATTACTGTGTATTGTTGTGTATACTGTTCTGTATTCACCGCCTGCTACCAATCTTGTAAACTTAAAACTGCATGAGGACTCTAAAAAGTCTGATTTTAAAAAAATGATAACTAGAGGCACTGTTTTAGCTAACTGTATGGAGCTTGGAGCTAATTCTTATCTACTGTTTACTTTGAGAAACGATTCTTTGCTTCCATCGTGCAGACCTGGCGTAATAATGAATATACGTTGTTTAATTAACATTGTTTAGCTTAATTAAAGAGTATATATATATATATATATATATATATATATATATATATATATATATATATATATATATATATTTATTTATTTATTTATTTATTTATTTATTTATTTATTTATTTATTTATTTATTTATTTATTTATTTATTTATTTATTTATTTATTTATTTATTTATTTATTTATTTATTTATTTATTTATTTATTTATTTATTTATTTATTTATTTATTTATTTATTTATTTATTTATTTATTTATTTATTTATCTATTTATTTATTTATTCATTTATTTATTTATTTTTATATATTTATTTATTTATTTACTTTTTAATATGTTAATATTGGAAAATATCTTACTTTAGCAATAGTTAATATTTTAATGTAATCTTTTCAGCTTCGTATAACATTTTAATAATGCTTATGTAGGCATACATTTTATTAAATTGTAGAATTCATGTTCTAACATATGAATAAAATATCAAGCAAATTTAAAACAAAAACCTTGTGGTTACTTTTATCAAAATGACTAACAATGTTATTTTATAACAGCGTAAACAAATATATTTTACTGAACTCCATTCAGAATGGCGTCACTTCTCATATACATAAACTAGATTCCATCTGCAGTCGATGGTTCGAGTCACACCTAGACGACTCCTCTAATGCAATTTGGCTATTTTACACCTTGCCATAAAGTGAACAGATCATATATCTACGTTAATACTTCCGCCAGCTCTAAGTTCAGTTGAAATCCAATAGGAAAATCCGAGATGACCATTCATCTTTTATACAACACGTCGGTCATGTGCTCTACCTACTTTGCATAATTTATGTGTGTCCAATCAGGTAGATCTTTAGGCCACCCACGCAGTCAACTGTTTTCTCAGGTGACCTATGGAGTAAGACTGTAAGAAAAAGGTTTGTATAACTGTCAGAGGCGTAGCGAGGGGTGGGGGGGGGGCGGGGGTGCGGACCGCACCGGGTGACACCATGGGTGACACCATTTAGGGGGGTGACACCAAAGCAAAAAAATAGCAAAATATATAGAGAAAAACTTGAGGGTGGGGGTGCAAATCGAAAGTTTGAGGGGGGGGGGGGGTGCAAATCGAAAATTTGTCCCCGGGAAGGGTCGCTACGCCTCTGGGGGGTGACACCATTAAGTGCCGCACCGGGTGACACCCGACCTCGCTACGCCACTGATAACTGTACTGGTTAAACTGGTCCAGAGTTAGACGGGGAGTAGGGCTTCAGATCATGGGGCATTCAAACAGTGGGAGTGTGTGTGGTGTGTTTAAGGGAGTATTGTCTAGAGGCGCATACGTTGGAGGCGATAGGTGCAGTGGTGTGTATCTGATGAGTGCAGTGGTGTGTATGTAAGGGTGATGGGTTCAGTGGTGTGTATCTGATGGTCGCAGTGGTGTATATGAGAGGGGTGATGGGTGCAGTGGTGTGTATGTAAGGGGTGATAGGTGCAGTGGTGTACATGTAAGGGGTGATGGGTGCAGTGGTGTACATGTAAGGGGTGATGGGTGCAGTGGTGTACATGTAAGGGGTGATGGGTGCAGTAGTGTATATGTAAGGGGTGATGGGTGCAGTGGTGTACATGTAAGGGGTGATGGGTGCAGTGGTGTGTATGTAAGGGGTGATGGGTGCAGTGGTGTGTATGTAAGGGGTGATGGGTGCAGTGGTGTGTATGTAAGGGGTGATGGGTGCAGTGGTGTATTGGTGTGTATGTAAGGGGTGATGGGTGCAGTAGTGTATATGTAAGGGGTGATGGCTGCAGTGGTGTATTGGTGTGTATGTAAGGGGTGATGGGTGCAGTAGTGTATATGTAAGGGGTGATGGCTGCAGTGGTGTATTGGTGTGTATGTAAGGGGTGATGGGTGCAGTGGTGTACATGTAAGGGGTGATAGGTGCAGTGGTGTACATGTAAGGGGTGATGGGTGCAGTGGTGTGTATGTAAGGGGTGATGGGTGCAGTGGTGTATTGGTGTGTATGTAAGGGGTGATGGGTGCAGTAGTGTATATGTAAGGGGTGATGGCTGCAGTGGTGTATTGGTGTGTATGTAAGGGGTGATGGGTGCAGTAGTGTATATGTAAGGGGTGATGGCTGCAGTGGAGTATATGTAAGGGGTGATAGGTGCAGTGGTGTACATGTAAGGGGTGATGGGTGCAGTGGTGTATATGTAAGGGGTGATAGGTGCAGTGGTGTACATGTAAGGGGTGATGGGTGCAGTGGTGTGTATGTAAGGGGTGATGGGTGCAGTGGTGTATTGGTGTGTATGTAAGGGGTGATGGGTGCAGTAGTGTATATGTAAGGGGTGATGGCTGCAGTGGTGTAGTGGTGTGTATGTAAGGGGTGATGGGTGCAGTGGAGTATATGTAAGGGGTGATAGGTGCAGTGGTGTACATGTAAGGGGTGATGGGTGCAGTGGTGTATATGTAAGGGGTGATAGGTGCAGTGGTGTACATGTAAGGGGTGATGGGTGCAGTGGTGTGTATGTAAGGGGTGATGGCTGCAGTGGTGTATATGTAAGGGGTGATAGGTGCAGTGGTGTACATGTAAGGGGTGATAGGTGCAGTGGTGTACATGTAAGGGGTGATGGGTGCAGTGGTGTACATGTAAGGGGTGATGGGTGCAGTGGTGTACATGTAAGGGGTGATGGGTGCAGTGGTGTGTATGTAAGGGGTGATAGGTGCAGTGGTGTACATGTAAGGGGTGATAGGTGCAGTGGTGTACATGTAAGGGGTGATGGGTGCAGTGCAGCTCCCTCCCCCCCCCCCCCCCCCCGAAGATGCCTGGAAGAAATTCTGAACTGATTGTTAACAGAAGATGCAACACTTTTATTATTTCTTCTCTTTTCATTGTATTCTTCAGCCAAGTCCAAAAGTCGGAATCTCACATTTTGTGCTTTTTATTTTTAAATACATGGTTTTATGTAACAGTTCTTTAATATTCGTATATTGATTTTAACTAAATTTACTGTTTACATTATATATGCGGGGTAGGGGGAGGTAAATCAAAGCTTGAGAATCCTCGGTAATAGTCTGAGCGATACAGCACACCTGTTGTCACCTGGTGTTACCTGTAGCTTTTGTACCTAGTCACGGAAAGACAACACCGTCTGGAAGAGTTTACCTGTGTCAAACAATAGAGTCAGCTGTTGAAATAGGGAGGAGACTTTTTGGTTCAGAAAAAAATAGCGGAAGGGGGAAGGGGGGCGTCCATAACAGAAAAAAACTAATAACTAATATGAAGTTTTGTAATTGTTTTTTTTTTATGATTTTGAATTAAATTTTCTCCATTTCGAGAAAGATCTGTACTTATCTTCGTGTAATATTGGTTTCTTTAGGATCTTTCACGTGTGTTGTTAGGGGTCACGTGTGTTGGTAGGGGTAACGTGTGTTGGTAGGGGTCGCGTGTGTTGGTAGGGGTCACTGATGGTAGGGGTCATGTGTGTTGGTAGGGGGTCACTTGTGTTGGTAGGGGGTCACGTGTGTTGGTATGGGGTCACTTGTGTTGGTAGGGGTCACGTGTGTTGGTAGGGGTCACGTGTGTTGGTAGGGGTCACGTGTGTTGGTAGGGGGTCACGTGTGCTGGTAGGGGTCACGTGTGTTGGTAGGGGTCACGTGTGTTGGTAGGGGGTCACGTGTGTTGGTAGGGGTCACCTGTTGGTTGGGCTCACGTGTGTTAGTAGGGGTACCTGTTGGTAGGGGTCACGTGTGTTGGTATGGGGTCACTTGTGTTGGTAGGGGTCACGTGTGTTGGTAGGGGTCACGTGTGTTGGTAGGGGTCACGTGTGTTGGTAGGGGGTCACGTGTGTTGGTAGGGGTCACGTGTGTTGGTAGGGGGTCACGTGTGTTGGTAGGGGGTCACGTGTGTTGGTAGGGGTCACCTGTTGGTTGGGCTCACGTGTGTTAGTAGGGGTACCTGTTGGTAGGGGTCACGTGTGTTGATAAGGGTCACGTGTTGGTTGGGGTCACTTGTGTTGGTAGGGGTCACCTGTGTTGTTAGGGGTCACCTGTGTAGGCAGACGTCACTTGTATTAGTAGGTATCTTCTATGAACAACGGCCCACATTAGGTGAAGAGATGAACAAAGGAGTTCAGACCTTTGCCTTCAGTATTTATTCTTTTCCTCGAAGAACAAAATAGTGAATGCCATTTAAATTTATTTTTTACAACAAAGATTAATACACTAAAGGGGATAACATGAGCTATATGGTCTGGTCCGGCAACATTAATGCGTCTTTACACTGAATATATTGTAGACCACTGTCATGTTGTAGAATTAAACTTTATTCGGCGTATCAATAAGTTTTAGCACAACGCCAGAGGCGTATACAGGTTTTCGTTGTAGGGGGAGCGAAATGAGCAAAAAAAGGCGCCGAATTTTTAACACGTTCTATATACATGTATTTTATATATATATATATATATATATATATATATATATATATATATATATATATATATATATATATATATATATATATATATATATATATATATATATATATATATATATATATATATATATATAAAGTTTCCAAAAAGGCGCCACTTTGCTGAAAATGGCCCCCTGCTCCCCCTCTGCGTACGCTACTGCACAACGCCTACTACCAACATATTACATACGATTGGTGCCATATTTTCTTGATGTTACATACCCAAACAATGTAACAAAAAAATAACCTGTATTTATTTAAGTATCGCCGCTTACATACTAACAACATAAAAAGATTGTGCAAATCAACTGACTTAATTGCATTTTAATATAAATAGCTGCTTTAGAGAAAACTCAGAAGAATACAAAATTTGATCCTATCTTGCAAGACAGTTAACACCTCTTGGACTGGTGACTACAAAGATAATCATCTTCTCATCATCTTGTCCCGTTCGTGCCCCAGACACAACGCAAAGATAAAGTCGAGTTCATCTGTTTCAGTGGCCTCAGCATACATGGGGATATTGTGAACATCATTATTCCCAACCATTTTTCGTTTCCCTATCATAAGTCAGGTACTCATCAGCGCTGGGTGGACTCAGGGACGTACTAACAATTCGAACCCGGGATCTGAACTCGAGACTATTGGGTTAGCTGTCTTGAGCTGTACCACTTAACCACGCCGTTCCATACATAGATAATATACACTCTTAAGTGTCAGTTAGACAAAAGTATAGTTATACTCAGAGGCGTAGCGATGGAGGGCAGGGGGGGACATATGTCCCCGGGCGCTGACCTTAGGGGGCGCCAAAATGGGTTGGTAACAGTAATCGAAAGTTTGAGGAGGGGTGCAAATCAAAAGTTTGATGGGGGTGGTGCAAATCAAAAGTTTGGAAAGTTTGTCCCCGGACGCCGGGAAAGGTCGCTACGCCTCTGGTTATACTACAGTTTCCCAAAGCAAGTATATAAAATGAAAAATAGTTAAATAAACACAAAGAAAAGAAATTGTATATATCCAATCATAAATAAGATTTATAAACAACATCAGAAGCAAAAATGAAATAAAATTACTAGCACGAAAACAAAGCGTTTTAAAAGTTAAATTGCACGAACTCTATAGCTTATGTACTTAATTTAATTAATTGATCCAGTTAAGTGTATGCTGGGTTAAGTAACACCCAGTGCACGTCATACTTTAAAGTAAAGATGCCTACAGCACCCGTTTAACTTACTCGAGTTACCTGTGGTGACCTCTCGGTACACTGACGTCAGTACTGAAGATCTCAGCGCAAGTCAATAAGAACAAAAGCAGTTAATGAATGAGCCTTAATTAGTTCGTTAATTTTACTTCGTTAGATGGAGGGGTGGGTGGGGTATAGTTTTGGGGTACCAGATCTTTTGTTCGTGTAATTTACCTTCTGACGTAGCCGTAAGATTCTTGTACCTCACTGAGGGGTATATAAGTGGGTGGCAGAGTCGATAGAGACACAGATCTTCTTCGCTTCTTGCAAAGTTTAATTCGAGATATCTGAAGAGAATTCATCTTACTCCATTAAAAGGTATTTTTTTATTTTAATCTTTAACTTTTACGTTTTAAACTCAGCTGTTTATGTCTTTAAAATTTCTCTTTTTCGGTTTTTATTTTACTGAGCAGCCACCTAAGCTGTTGAAAAGATAAAATTGTTTTATCCAAAGATTGATTCTGTCACATTTTAATTTTAGAAAACAAAACAAAATGCTAAGAAAAGAAAATTATTCACAATATTAAGAAACTCACAAAAATAAGTTTTTAATGTTTTGATCATGTTGATACAATTTCAGAGGTAGTCCTTAGTCTATTAATATTAAAGACAAAAGTTCTTGTTTGTAGTTTATCTTCATCCTAGTTAGTGATGCAATTTTACTTCTACGTTGGATGTAATCAGTACTTGCGGTATGACGGTTAGGGTTAGGATTTAGGTTCGCTGTAGACAGTTATCCCAAGTATTAATCCGAATATAAAATAGAATGTATTGTTTCTATAATTTAAGTTGCACAGAAAAATGCCGAAAAAAAATACACACACCACTTTTTAAGTACAACTTAGCTTTCACTTTAAATCTGTAATTCGATACAGATACATATTTCTTATAAATGATCAAGCTCTTAAAACATTTAAGACAATACAAACATACAAAATCATTTAAAGTTAATTACTCTGAAGTCTTGTGCTATCAGAGTTTCTTCCAGGCATTTCTTCGCGCCCCCCCCCCCCTCTCCAATTTCGAACAAAATGTAATATATATAGAAAATATATCTTTTTAACAGTGTCCATCCCCCCCTCGCCCGAATATTTCAATTGCCCCCCCCCCCCCCCCAGAGAAAAAAGCCTGGAAGAAACACTGGTGCTTATCACACGCCCAAAACCCCTCCTCTACATAGGATAACTATTATAAAGCTGTGTACACATCACATATCTAAAACCTTCACTTCACAGAATGGCCTCTCGCATAGTTCTAGCCCTGTGTTTCCTGGTCATCGTGTCCGTCTCTCTGTCCTGGAGTTTACCCCTGGAGGCTCAAGGTGGTGGTCACACAGACGCCCCTCATCCTCCCCAGGACCCCACCTCTCTACCCCTAGTGCCCTTCAACGGTGAGTAACATTTGACCTTTAAACTTGGTTGTATCATCGAGTTCCTAATGTAAAAACCGCGTAGCAAGATATGTGTTCAAGCAACCATACTCGAGATTGTAGGTCCTCCCCTGACCGAAATTCCCTTTCTATGTAAAAAGATGCGTTGTGAGGAAGCAAAGCCTGGTGGAAACCTAGGGTAATGGCGTCTTAACCCATTCCAGACTGACTAATGAGTAAAGATTGGGGGTATAAAAACGTACCCCTGATGGAGATTTTCATTATCTGTACCTGTTGAAGGTGTTACCTGGAAATACATTCCACGTTTTCCAATCCACGGCTGATCTAACCGGTAAAACATAAAACGCACAAAACTAACAATTAGGCGTTTCGACACCATGTCTTCGTCAGATTTCACGTTTTATTTTTTAAATGTATGATACGACTGTAAATTTGAAATACACTTTCTAAATAGCATTATTTGATTCATTCACCTCATACTCTTTTATTTATCTACCACAAATACCCAATGTTGCTTATTTTCCACATATACACAATTTTGTCCATTTACCACATATGCACAATGTTGCTTATTTGCCACATCTTCTTGTTTCCACAGAAACCCTGCCTGAAGTGAAAGAGAAAGCTCTCGACATTAGCACTCTGTTCCTACTTCAACTCCTTGGCGGCTCAGGCGGCTCCTTCAACATTCAGAGCCTTCTGCCTCTCATTCTCTTCTCCAGAATTCTCGGCTAGGTAAAGTTATCTTTGACAATTTTCTGATAAGCAAGAGGAGCATGTAAAAAAATAAACAGTGTTTTTAACATTATCTTTGGAATTTTTTTTAAAATAAGAGGTGCATTTAAATAACGAATAGGGTTTTCTTTGACATTTTTTACATAAAGAGGTGCATCTAAAAAAAAAATTCGGTTATTTAACATTTTTGACGACTTACCGAAAAAAAGTAATTAATAATATTAATATATATAATTTAAAAAAGAAATGTTGATAAAAAAACTTAACAATTTCTAAAAATAAAAAAGTGCTGATGAAACGATTATAACAATTAGTTAAAATTATTTATTTCTATTTTCAGATTTAAATTTAGTACACAGATCATGTGACTCACTGATTATGCTCAAGCTTCGTTTTTGTGTTTGTTTATTGTGAAGTTTTTGTGTTTTAGCTACACTATTATTTTGAATAGGAAAATTTAACTCCCACAAAGTCCCTTCATGACCCTTAAATCCTTATGTACATTTTATGTATTTGTTTGAAATGCTTTAAATCTTAGTATTTAAAAAAAAATTATGCCTCCAAAGATATCGATGAATTTATTTGTGTAAAAATAAAAAGATGAAATAAGATTACTGTGTTACTGAAGTTAATGTTTAAGGACTCGTCCTGCGTGTAATATATGCAATAACAGGTTTTATTCATATACATATAAATACACACACAAAAACCATCGAAATCAATGGTAGGGTCTATACATCGACACAGAACTTATGCCGCCTTTATAACAAGGTAGGTCCTTATTGTGGATACCCTACGTTAAAACCCATATAGGTGAACTAAAGGATAACAGTAGAAAGATGGATGACTCCCACTACAAGTAGGATTAAAATATATCGGCTATGGCCCACGCTTTCAGACGGCAGTTCTTACCTAGTGTATATGCCAATTTTGAAAACATATGAAATAAACCGGGAGTGATCTCCCCTAAACTTTATCGAATATTCTCATTTGAAACAACTGGGGATGGCAACTCGGGATATAGACATGATTTTTAATTCATTTTAAATACTTAAACTTTTTAAAATAGAATAAAATCTCGTAGAAAAAATAATTGCACACCAAGTGAACGCCAAATAAAATGTGCGTAATGATGCGGAATATTATTAGTACTTTATAAATTCACATGCTTTTTTTGAGAAATCGGAAATAGCGTAAATTACTACTTCCGGTCAACGGAAATTACTCAAAATTTAACACAAGGCAGAGAATCAGATTTTTTACATGCTAGTGAAATGTCATTTATTTATCTGAAATATTACTCAAGTTACGGGCTTTTGAAAAATTCAAAGTACAAAAAGTTCCACATCTGGTTATTGGAAATCGCTCAAAAACTGATGCGGATCTATAATTTTGATATAATACTTATATATGAAATTTCATCAACCTAGCTGTAACAGTACTCAAGTTATCGTGTTTACAGACACACACTCACACACACATACATACGGACAAGATAGCAAAACTATGTTTTTCCAACTCAGGGAGCTGTAAAACGTCGAGATTTAAAAAATCTCGATTTTTTTTTTTGCACGATTACAATACTTTCTCTATACTTCGTATATACGAGAAAGTAGAAAACAAAATAAGAGTTATGGTACTCAACTTTTACAATTTAAATATTAAAAAACGCCATTTTGGAAGTTTAATTATGAGAAATTTTAGACAGCTTCATTTGTGATAAAATTGTATTCACAATTTAAACATACAGTATTGAAGAAAGCCACTGTGACTTTAGTTATGTTTATCACTAGGTCATCACGTGCTAGTGTCCTTATTACAAGTCAATATGAAGAAAAGAAAATAATGTAAAAGTGTTTGTGGTTAGAACTGACGAGAAGAGAATAGACATTAGATCAATATCTTGGGTCATATCATTTGTTGACATAATGTCTACCGATTTTTTGGGACGTGATAATTCAGTTATATCCACTTGGACCAGCTTTATAAAGTCTTGATGGTGAAAAGATTTTATTATACTTTGTAAGTTTTTAACGGTGTGCGTATATAGAACAAATCTCCAAAAGGTACGTACATTGTTCTGATGTTAACTTTCAAAATACGTGGACTATACTAGCTAATAAATTAACGATACTATGATTACATTTATAAAAATAATTTTTAGCTGTATAAGCTTAATAAGTTTACATCTTTTCATGAAATTAAAATAACCATAAATAATTTTTATTTTATCACTACACAAAAAGAAAAATCATTATTTTTTGTAATTAAAAGACGTTATCACATTATATTAAAAAATCTGCTGACTACGATGTGTATATAGCTAGGCCCTGATACCAACTACACAGAGGGGTAGCGACCCTTCCCGGTGCCCGGGGACAAACTTTCAATTTGGCGCCCCCCTCGGGAGCAAATTTTCGATTTGCACCCCCCTCAACTTTTCGATTTGCACCCCCCCCCCTTCAAACTGCAAAAATGCAGCTAAATTGACACTTTAATTTGTTTTTACAACCCATTTTGGCGCCCCCTGAGGTCGGCGCCCGGGGACATATGTCCCCTCCTGCCCCCCCCCCCCCCCGCCATCGCTACGCCTCTGCAACTACATACGTTAAATAAGAGCAATGTGTTCTTGATAACGGGTGGGGTAAGGAAAAGCGTTTGGCTTGTAATCCAATCCGTAATCCCATCTACCATTCACTCGTTTATTTAACAATCAACATTTTGTTTCTCGACAGTATGGCCTCGGGTATTGTATCGGTTGTGTTTTTCTTGGTCGGCGTGTCCGTGTGTCTGTCCTTCAGACTTCCGGTGGAAGACCCAGCACGGCTGGAACGTCAGGCAGAACTACCCCAAGACGAAACCACTGCAAGCCCATTTCCTGTGAACCGTACGTTTCTTTTTTTTTTTTTACCACGCACAACTATAACCAAAAACACACCCATAATCACCTGTTTTCATTGTTTAAAAACTTTCTGCGAGTGGTCTAGAGGTAGAGAGCTGGACTGCTAACCTGTAAGTCTTGAGTTCGAATCCGGGTTCAAGTCAATAGACGATCTCTGAGTCCATCCAACTCTGATGCGTACCTAACTCACTTTAGGGAAAGTAAAGTTGGCTGGGCATAGAGCTTACGACACTATCTGTTCATATGCTGAGGTCACAGAACCAAGTGAACTTTACTTCACTTGCCCTATAGATCATCAGGTTTCAAAGGGAACTTAATTTTTTTTTTACTCATCTTCATCATTTCTTTTGGTTCCGAGAGCAATATCGCATCTTACAAACAGTGCTTCTTCCAGACTTTTTTCTCCGTGGGGGGGGGGGGGGGCACTTGAAATTTTCGCGGGGGGGGGGGGGGCGGTAGACTTTCTTCGGGGGGGGGGGGGGCGGACACTGCTAAAAGTATATATTTTCTATATAAATAATATAAATTTCATTTCGTTCGGGGGGGGGGGCGGTAAAAAAAATTCGGGGGGGGGGGGGGTGGGGCTTCCCGAAGAGATGCCTGGAAGAAACTCTGCTTACAAATCTCTCCGCAGTCCCCTGACTCCCTTATTAGTCTTATCATCTTAAACTTGTATAAATGTTTTTTCTCCCTTTCCTCTTCAGCAGCCCTACCGGAGTTAAACGGAAAAGCTTTCAACATTTCCAATCTCCTGCCCATCCTGTTACTGCAAAGTTTATCTGGGGGTACCATAGATATACAGACCCTTCTGCTCCTAAAACTTATAGGCTAGGTAAGGACATTTTAACCTGGAACAATATTACGATTTTATATATTTTTTTAAATTCTTGTACAAGTTAATCAGTTTCCGAAACGTTCCCCAGCTTGCTTTATAATTCATGAAGTAAAACTGTTTCAAACAACAAAATTGCAATAAGGAGGAAGGGGGTAAAATGTGACGTTATTTTCGAGGAGGGGTGGTCTGATTTTTTTTAAAATTGTGTACGACGATGGAGAGAGGGTAGGTAAAAATCGTCAAATGAAAAGTTTGACGTCATTTATTGATGGCCAGTGTTTCTTCCAGGCATCTCTTATGGGGAGTTTTCCGCTCCCCCCCCCCCCACACACACACACTACCGAAGTCTACCGACCCCCCCCCCCCCCCCTAAAGAAAAGGACTTTGTCTATGAAACATATACTCTTACCAGTGTCTGCCACCACCCCCCCCCCCCGAAAATATCAAGTGCTCCCCCCCCCTCGGAAAAAAGTCTGTAAGAAACACTGTGGATGACCCCTTAACTTAATTTCATTGCAATGATTTTCTTTTTTTTTTCTTTCATTTTTACAGAATCAGTAGACGAACAATCAAGCCTGCTAGTTAGCACTTTAGTAAAAGAATAATATATTCGGGGTTAGTCCTTGTTTCCATTGTAATTCAATAAAGAAGCTAGTGCCGAAATTCTCTACATTTTCTTGGAAGACTTACGTTCCACCCATCTAGCCCATACCATGTGATGAACTTGTATCTTTATTTATGTTTATGCAGATACTAGAATTTTACCAGATGTGTTTTGTTTTGCTTTGATGCCTTGAGAAAATAAAATTGTAGAAATCTAGTCAGATTGTTTACAAGCGTCTTTGTCAGGGGCGGAACTACAGTGCCGCCAGACCCCGCAATGCGGGGGGGCCCACGCCATTTAGGGGCCCATAGCCGACCATAATAATTTTTTTATAGTTGCATTTTTGACTTGACGGCAATAGCTTTTGTCAATAACAAACAGGTCTACTACAGTTGTGATGTTATACAGTAGCTAACACATGCTGTTGCGTATATATATATATATATATATATATATATATATATATATATATATATATATATATATATATATATATATATATGCCTGAGCTGTAGTGTGAAAGATAGGCAAACGTTCAAAACACTTCCATGACTTATTTCCCTTTTTTAAATGGTTAAATAGGGGTGCTCCTTTTAATATATTTGTACTAAACAAATAAAAAAGCAATTACTCCTCTTAATTATTATTTAAAAAGAAATACAAACTAAAGATTGACATAGCATAAAAAGGAAATATATTTAAAACAAATAACATAAATACGAAAAAACATAAAAATAAACATAACACGAGAAACCATTTCACATACAAAGCTTTCACGTTTTATATTTTTTGACCGGCTTTAATCTAGCACTATCCAAAGTCCATATAATCGGCTGTATTACAGCAAACATATTTAATGAACTAGTTATAAATCTAAAAAAAAAAATTCAAAACAGACTAATGCACGCACTCACATGTCATGTTGTAATTTGTTTAAATTGGAAAAAAAAAAGACATTTTTATTTCAAACCCGATCAGGCCAGAAATGAGTATCCAATGTTTGTGTTCAGTGTTTGTATATATATATATATATATATATATATATATATATATATATATATATATATATATATATATATATATATATATATATATATATATATATATATATATATATATATATATATATATATATATAGGAGGGGGCCCAGAATTTTTTTTTTGCGGGGTGGCCCTTTTTTTCTAGTTCCGCCACTGGTCTTTGTGTGGAGAAAAAAAGAAATCAAGAACGTGTGTCTTCCTGATAGAATCCAAATGTTTCATTTGGCTAAAAATTGGCTTATATTGTAATCATTAAAATGATGATTGTGTGTTGAAGTTAGCATAAAAAAATGTTCATTTTAATTTCACTTTATTTTTTTAATTGTTATTACGGGGGGCTAATCATGGAGTTTTTTAAAAACAAATTTTAGTAGGGTTGTGTACCTTTAATGAAACTGAAACTGGTTCTCTTTCTAGGCCTACTATCATTTAGTGTCGGGCCTATGTGACGATCTTATTTTTTTCAGCCTAATTTTTTTTTTACTATAATTTGTGAAGAATTTTCGACAGCAAGCTTTATATAGACTGTATCGAAGAAAAAGAAGTAACAATTTTAACTCTAATGCTTTAATTTAAAAATAAAAATTTTGAACCGGCAATAACACACAAAAAATACATTTGCATATAGAACATATCCGGTTCATGACCCTTGAACTATTAATAGATTATCGTTTGAATTCTGGCTTCTAACAAATGAATACAAAACATTTTATTTCCATTGATCACCCACCTTAATTTAATTATCGTTGAAGTAGATTATAGATCCTGAACTAGAATCTAGATGTGTGTGATACTTACAATGGGTGATAGACCTACATTCAGGTAGGTTTTTTTTTTTAAGAATTAATTTACAAGCCTAAATAGATTTTCTAGAGCAGTCCTTCACAATCAGTCACACTGGCTCAAGTCAGCAATAGTTCTTCACTCTTCCAGCTTCCTACCTTCAGTCTTTGAGTCAATCTTTGCCAGTCTTCGATCTTTCTTACTCACTCAGTCGCTTTATAAATATCTAAATGTCTAGAAATCTAGCTTTAAAATTATACTAGTTTCTAGATCTAGAGTTAGGCCTACTCACTTTTAATAAATTCTAAAGTCAAAGTGGCCTAGCTAAAGCCATAAAGGTGTAAAAGACTAAGAAGACTAAGATAGATGACACTATGACACCTAAACTCCTAAACTAAAGTAATTTACTAAAGTCTAAAACTAAAGCTAATAACAGGGCCCCCCCCCCCCCCCCCCCTAATAGATTCTATATACTTTTAACAGTGTCCCGTCCCCTCCCCCCCAAAGAAAGTCTTCCGCCCCCCCCCGAAGAATTTCAAGAGCCCCCCCCCCACCCCGTAGAAAAAAGTCTGGAAGAAACACTGGCTAGTAATAAAGTCTATAAACCAGAGGCGTAGCGACCCTCCCGGCGCCCGGAACAAACTTTTCGCTTTGCACCCTTCCTCGAGATTTCGATTTGCACCCCCCCCCCCCCCCCCCTCAAACTTTCGATTTGCGCCCCCCTCAACCTTTCAATTTATTTTTCCAACCCATTTTGGCGCTCCCTAAGCTCGGCGCCAGGGGACATATGTTCCCCGCCCCCCCCCCCTCGCTACGCTACTGCTCTAAACTTTAAAGTAGTCTAAAGTCTTAGGCCCCTCCCTACTTATTATTTTTTTAGATCTAGAGTCTAGATCTAGGTAATAGTCTAGAACTTAGTCCATCTCTCTATATTGCAATTAGTCTAAAAATAAATTATCTAGATCTAGGCCTAATAATTGGATCATAGATTCTAGATCAGTGGTTCCCAACCTTTTTCGAGTGGCGACCCCCTTTTATAAAAAGTAAGTGACCCGCGACCCCCATAGAATTAAAAAGCCAAATTTAGTATGGAAAGTAATAATCATTAAAAATAAGATTTTCTAGTAGACTTTCAATATGAACTACTCTTGATAACTGTTTTAATAGCATGAGTAAAATTGCATACTATTCACTAAACCTTCGTGGTTAAGTTTTTAATTTTTTTAAAAATTTTGTTAACGCCAAACTATGTCATTATAATTATCTTAATTTTGTTTTTAATCGAAGAATAGTGTTGAAAATATATTTTCGAAAAGTCAATCAATTTTACGTTTGGGTATGAATGGTAAATACTACACCAAAATTGTGTCTGCAGTTTTTCATCTTACTCGGAATCATTCTGCAAATCAAAGAATTTATCTCGTAATTCATCGGGAATGCCGGCAACATCAAGGGAAGAAGAGAGTGGGTAATGCGTAAATGCAGATTCTTCTTCTTTCAGCCCAGAGAAATGGCGATGCAGTTCGTTTTCAAGAGATTCAAGATGACCAGAAATCGCTTCTTTCAAAATTTTAAGTATCTCACAATCAGATTCATCTACCGCAGAGTTTCTCAAATTTACAATATTTCCTAGATTTATTTTCTTTACCGATTTTGCAGCTTTGATAAAAATGCCCCGAGATTATCATGGAAAGTTATAATATTCGTTCATTTTCCCTGAATCTTCAGGTTAAGTTTATCTTGATGTTTGAACACATCTGCTATGTATGATACTCTCTCCAACCACTCTATGTCGTTTTAAGTATACCAAAATGTCTTGTTTCCTTTGCAATTCCAAGAACAATTTGATTTCAGATTTCAATTCAAAAATACAATTTACAACTTTTCGTTTGACAGCCAGCGTACTGTAGTGTAGAACAGCAGAACCTCGTGATCTATATTAATGTTTTTGCTCAGTTCTTTGAAGGCTCCAGATTTTATATAATTTACGACTTATACTAGCATTGGACTCTTGATGTTGATTGGTTAGGGCAGTGGTTAGGGAGCTCAATCTTTTCTGTTTTCTGAAAGCCCGATTTTGAGCTAAACATAGATGGCGCACCATCCGTTCTAACCCATTTTAATCATCCCGTTTTAAAAAAAAACGGTGTTTATTTTCTCCATGCTATCTTCACAAAATAGCAACTCTTCTTTGCTATCATCCGCATGAATATAGACACAGACCAGCAACTGCCAACCCGAACTCACGTCTGTTAATTTATCAACTTGAAAAGCAAACAATGGTGAAAGCTTAATTTCAATAAAAATGTGTTATTTAACATTTACGTACATGCAGCGATTGATGAGATTTTCTCCTATTGTTTTCTTTTTTTGCTTGGCCTTTTCTATCGCGACTTCATTTGATGCTTGCACTAATGCTGGTGAAAACTTCCTGTTCGATCAAGTCTCTGGCGTTTGCAACTGGCTTCTTACCGACGGAAGAACTCCATATAATTTTCGGTGTGTTCCGAATGACTTGTCTCAAATGACGTTTTATTTTTGAAAATTTCATAGATTCGTGACTGAGAACAACTTTGTACAGTGCGCTTTGTTTCTTCTCTATTACATTTCCAGTGATGTTAATGAAGCCGAATTTAAAAAATTCTTCTAAATATTTATGTTTTGTTTTCAAATTACTAAGGTTTAGTATACCAGTTGGCGACCCCCCAGAAAGACCTTCGCGACCCCCTTGGGGGTCGCGACCCCCAGGTTGGGAACCCGTGTTCTAGATAGATTTAGATAACACTCACATTCAGTGGTCAGCATCAAGAGCATGGCCTAGCGGCAGAGTTTTATATACTGCTAACCCAAATGTTTTGAGTTCATATCTAGCTTCATCAGTGGAACATTTCTGAGTTGACCCAGCTCTGATGGGTTCATTACCCATGTTCGTGAAAGTATTTCAGGCAGCTTGGCATAGCTTGACCACACTATTTATCCCATAGCGTGCAGATGTCACAGAAATAGATGAACTCAACTTAGTCTACTTCACTTGACGCATGGGCCATCAGATTTAAAAAGAAACCTCAATCCTTTACTTACTTACCTTACTACTATCCAGAGACGTAGGGGGGGGGGGGGGACGACATATGTCCCCAGGCGCTGACCTTAGGGGGCACCAAAATGGGTTGGAAAAACAAATTGAAAGTTTGTCCCCGGGCGCAGGGAAGGGTCCCTACGCCTTTGCTACCTCTAGACCTAGATTAATTTTAGATTAGAATAGTAAGAATACAGTCTAGATCTAGGACTAGATTCTTTAACTATCACTATAGGCCTACTTACTCTAGCCTAGCTGTCGCAGCACTCCTCTTGTTTAGATGTAGACTAGGAGTTT